CGCAGCCGCCCCCGACAGCAGCGTGGCCGGCGACCCCGCCTTCAGCCGGGCGCCGCGCTGCGCGCAGGTGGAGCGGGCTCAGCACTGCAGCTGCGAGGCGGGATTCCACCTGAGCGCTGCTGCCGCCGGCGACAGCGTCTGCCAGGGTAGGCGCGGGCTCTGCTGGGGCGCTGGGGACAGCAAGGGGGGACATCGGGGCTGGGGAAGGGGCTCTTACTACCGCACTCCTGCCTGCACGGGCGCACCCAGCCCGCGCCCAGGGTGCAGGGGCCAGAGGCTGCTTCCTGGGCTTGGTCTCAGCCTGGCCGCTTTGCGTTGTAGGTAAGTGTTGTCCTGTGGTTGCTAGGATGTAGCGAATGCATAGACATCAAGGTGGGCATAAGAAAGCAAGACTTAGAGAAAGCAACCGGGAGGTCCCAAGCTCATCCCACTTCAGAACCTGGGCCCCCTAGGCCTAAGCCGCGTAGCGTGGTCCAGGGGAGCCCTGAGTCCTGACCAGGTGCCAAGGAGGAACTTAAAACATTGTGCTGGTGGACACCCCCCAAGCTGTGTGGAGGCCGGGGACTCGTTCCCTAGTCTCAGCTGTGCTTACTGATCAATTCACTTGTGCTAACCTCTCCCGAGTATCAGAGTATCTTCCAAAAACATCTCAAACCAGATTTCCAACCTGAGGTTTGGTCAGTATGCTAATAGCCTCATTTTACAGCAGCAGAAAGGAGACCCTCTTGTTCCATTCCAAAGATGAGATGAGTTAACACCGGGTTGTGAACCCAGCCCTACTCTCTGGGCCTGATCTGCCAACCTCTACAGGGTCTCCCCAGCTGGTCTTCAGTCTTAGATAGAGGCACCCCTCTAGGGCTGGCCCTCCAGACGGGCTGGCCCTCCAGACGGTCTGTCCCTCTAGGGTCTACCCATGAGCTCTCTGTCACGCCTCCTTTCAGCTCTCTGGGCCCTTGGCTCAGGGGAAGGGGGAGCATACCTGCTTCTCTTCCAGGTGCTCTGCTGGGGACAGGGCTCAGCAGCTGTGCCTCTAGGAATCGAGGCATGGCTGTCCTGGGTCACAGCTGGTGACACCCACTGTGTGATGCCTGAAGTGGACACTTCTGTTTCCAGATGTGAATGAGTGCGAGCTCTATGGGCATGAGGGGCGGCCCCGGCTCTGCATGCATGCCTGCGTGAACATCCCAGGCTCCTACCGCTGCACCTGCCCCAGCGGATACCGGACCCTGGCCGACGGGAAGAGCTGTGAGGGTGAGTGAGACTGCAGCAAAGGCAGGTGACCTCAGACTGGAGAGTGTCCTCTGCACCTGGTCACCTGCTGCTGATGCCCACCCCCCAGGCCTCACAATTAAGAATGGGGTGGTTAGGGGAGTCAAAGTTTCAGATATAGCTGATCTTTTAAAAACCACCAACCAAAGGACCTCTCAGAAGATCAGGTTACATCAGCACCTACAATATTAGGAAACACCATTGCTTGACCATCCAGACAGTCTCTTCCAACCTTATGCAAGCAACTGTTTTTTTCAAAGTCAGGTCACTTCCATCCACTCAAAAATGCCTTCAACGGGGGCTGAACCCAAAGGCAGAGTGGCCAGGTGGTTACCCATGTCCTGCAATTTGGAGGAACCCACAAGGCTCCATGACCTCATGCGGACCATCTGCAAGTCCACCTCAAAGGGAGAGCACCTTGCAGGCACTTATGCCTTAGTGTAGTTGGGTTCTGCTTGATGGCTAGCAGAGGGCCACGGGGGAGATGGGGCACCAGGGACTGGCTGGCAGGGGGGGCTGTTACTATACCTGGGCTTGAGGGGCGAGGGGAGTGAGGAGGGTTGTCACAGCCTGACAGATCATGGCCATGGAGGACACAGCCACCACCAGAGTGGTATCCAGACAGTTCAGGGCCCCTCAGGCTGAGTCACTGTCATCTGCTGAACCTGACTGGAAGCCGGAGGGCCTGGGAGCCAGGAGATATAGTCCACACCAATCAGCCTCCCAGGAACAGGGAGTGGTGCATGTGTGGACAGGGGTGAGTGGGGTGGTATGGGTGAAAGAAGTGGCTCAGGTTTCACCCCAGAACTGAATCCTGTCCATCTATAGTGGCCTCCTGGAGGACTGGGTTGAGGTTTCTGAGGCTGCTTCCAGGCACAGTGGAAAAGGATGTCTTAATCAGCAAGGAATGTCTGGAGTAGGTGTGGAAGGCACCCAAGGGGGCAGGAAAGGATGTGGCAAAGGGGGCTGGCTGGTCGAATGGAGAGGGTGAGGACCCTCGCAGCAGGCACCAGTATCCCTACCAGACAAGCCCCAGGGGGCACTGAGCACATTCACAGGAGACTTCCCTGTACCCACCCCACTTCCACTTAGGGCAAATATGGATATTAATAGATATAGATACTTGAATCTCCACATTAGCTCAGAGTCAGAAAACACATTTCTGCCTGAAGTGCAAGTGAGATCAGCCTGATTCTTGGCCCTAGAGCCCCTCTGCTGCAGTGGGCCTTGGAGGAGAACTGGGTCAGCTAAGGCAGGTCCATCTCACACCAAGAGGATGGATAGGCCCACTTCCCCCAGCTGGACTTCCCCCATGGACACAGGATCGGACACAGAAGGGGAGCCCAGGTGGCCCAAGACAGTAACTTTGAACCACTCAGGGAGAAGGGAAGGAGAGAGGGCTCCTCCATGGGCTGACGTGGGAATGTGAGGAGGAAGTGGCTCCCCAGTGATATCCTCTTGGGGGTCTGCTGGGGCTGGAGCAGGAGACATCGTCCAGATAGCTGCCCCATTGTCCTCCATCTACCCGTCCCTCCCACAAAGTTCAGGAAGGCCTGTCTGGGACTGCTGGGGGTTGAGAAGAGAGCCTCCGGCTGGGGAGACTCACGGGGCCTCTGCAAAGGGAGTAGAGAACTGCACAAATGACCGAGTGGGGTGTCTGCATTTGGCATGGGGTGAGGCTGGGGAGGAAGGCTTTGAAGAAGAGTCAGATCTTTTTAAAAACTGTCATGGACAGCAACCATGGAGGGGAGGCGTGGGCACTTGAGCCGAGACGGAGGCAGGTCTGAGAGAGGCATCGTGACTGGTAACACTCATGCTCTCTGGCACCCCTGCCACCTGTCATGACCCGGGGAAGGAGGATGGGATCCCAGGGAGGCATGCTCTCCGGCACTTGGCAGAACTCTCACTCCACATGGTTAGGGAAGACAGGCTTCCTGCTTTAAGAATAAGTCTTGGGTGTTTAGAAAGTTCACCATGCAGGAAGCACTGCATTCCAGTGCCTGGAAAGCCTCTTCTGTGGTTCTGTTTTGGAGGGAAAGTCACAGAGATTCACACCCTGTCACATGTCCTGTATTTCAGATGTCGATGAGTGTGTGGGCCCCCAGCACGTGTGCCCCCGGGGGACCACATGCATCAACACCGGTGGAGGCTTCCAATGCGTCAGCCCCGAGTGTCCCGAGGGTAGCGGCAATGTGAGCTATGTGAAGACATCGCCCTTGTGAGTGTCACCAGGGCCTCCAAGTGTGCCTGGCCAGATCTTCTTAGAGGCTCCTGGGAGAAGGTGCAGTTATGTCACAGAGAGTTGAAAGGCAGGAGTTAGGAGTCTGGCTTTTCTGAGCTTCTATTTACCTTTAGTGATTGTATTTAACACAGTGCTGCTCTGGTGCATTAAGAACCCAGTTTGCCCCATATTCCATATGGGAATAATGTACTGTGTGCTTCCTGGCTACATACAGGATGATGGCGGTGCAGACGCACAGGGTGGCACAGTCAGGATGGGGCACTGGAGGGAAGAAGCTGTTGGTGATGTCATCTTGATAAATCCCACATCAGCCCAGGGGACAGGTGGAATCATTTTCTTGGGTTCGAATTCTGGTAACCACAGACTCCAGTGACACTGCACTGCATATCCCACACATACTGTAGTTCATCACTCTGCTTTTCCAATGGTACTAGAAGGGTCACTGTCTAGAAACTGCAGCACTTAAACAGTAAATAGGCTTTTTTTTTAAGTTGGAAGATGGGCCTTTCAGGGGAACACTACAACTATCACAAAGCACATGCGTTTTCTTCTCAAAAAACTATCTCCAGAGCCCTAGCATTGCCTTTAAAATGAAGAGAATTTACTTCATAAACATAATTAATTGAATGCTTTTTGGATGAAGGAAGCGCAGAAGCAGCAAGGAAGCCAGCGTCACTGAAGAGTGGCAGTTGTTAGAGAGAGTAAGACACCACCCAGTGTGGTGGTGTCTGTCTATCATAGCCTGTGGGACATTTGATTAACAGTTGGATGTGATATCTTACCTGTATAATCATGAGGCTACTGAATTACCAAATATGCTAAATTGCATTGTTTTGTGTGTGGTAAGATAAATATCGAAAGCATTTCCACAAGACACTGACTCTAAATGGTTAAAGCAAACCGAATTTCCTACTATAAGAGCAAACATTGCTGTATTTGGAGAGTTCACCACATGAGGAATACTGCACTGCAGGACATTGCCTGCTGGGGTCCCACAATTATTGGGTGTGATCTCAACACATAGAGACAGGGCACCCGGTTTGAATACCAGCATTGTGATAGTGATTTAATATTCTCAGGTTTATTTTTTCTGTGAAAACTATAGTAATATTCCAGGTGTGGTGGCTCATGCCTATAATTCCAGCAATTTAAGAGGCCAAGGTAAGAGGATTTGAGCCCAGTTGTTTGAGACTCACCTTGGCAACATGGCAAGACTTCATCTCTCCAAAAATCAAAAAATTAGCCTGGCATGGCAGCATGTGCCTGTAGTCCCAGCTGCTCGGGAGGCTGAGGTAGAAGGATCGCTTGAGCCCAGGAGTTTGAGGCTACAGTGAGCCATGATCATGCCACTGCCCTCCAGCCTGGGCAACAGAGTGAGACTCCGACTCAAAAAAAAAAGCATAGTAATAGAGTAGATACATATACATGCACACATATACACACATGAAGTGGTCAGGGGCGCACCCAGAACAGGAACAGAAGTGGTAGTGCTTCCCTGTCCATGGCTGACACCAGCCACATTCATTTTCCCTGCAGCTCTGTAGCTCGTGGGTGAGGAAAACTCACCCAGGCATCCTTGGCAAGAGGGCAGGTGGGCAGCCAGGTCAGAACAGCCCCTTCTGAGTCTCCCCAAGCCTGACCGCTTTCGTTTTGCCTCCCTACTCCAGCCAGTGTGAGCGAAACCCCTGCCCCATGGACAGCAGACCCTGCCGCCATCTGCCCAAGACCATCTCTTTCCATTACCTCTCTCTGCCTTCCAACCTGAAGACACCCATCACGCTCTTCCGCATGGCCACGGCCTCAGCCCCCGGCCGGCCTGGGCCCAACAGTCTGCGGTTTGGGATCGCGGGTGGGAACAGCCGGGGCCACTTTGTGATGCAGCGCTCAGACCGACAGACAGGGGAACTGATCCTTGTCCAGACCCTGGAGGGGCCTCAGACACTGGAGGTGGACGTTGACATGTCAGAATACCTGGACCGCTCCTTCCAGGCCAACCACGTGTCCAAGGTCACCATCTTTGTGTCCCCCTATGACTTCTAAGGGTGCCATGAGGGCACCAGGATGTGGAGATCTGGGCTCATCTCTCTTCCCAGAAGACTCAACTGTGGGCACTGACTGCAACAGATGTCTCCCCCCTAC